CGGTTCAGTGGCCATTTCTGTGGTGAGACTCTTTATAAACACCAGGTGCTGTAGGTAAAAGCCAAATTAATTTTGATTAGCTTTTCAGGATCACACAGACACCTTCTCCATTCACACAGCTCACAGTGATGGGAAATGCTGGGGAGGCTTTGACTCCCAGGCTTAACAGCTTTAAAACGTTAATACTTACGATCAAGAGGTACATCCAGTGCGCTAATCATCTGGCACAGGAAGAGAATCATGGGCGCTCTGCCTGCAGATAAGCGCTTCCTTCTCGGCATTTTTTTAAGCTGCGTTAGCTGAGCTCCTGCTGAGACCCACAAACTGAATTTCCTTTTCTTCTTTCACAAAAGATTTGCGTGCAATGTTTAAATAATTTTCATGCAGGGAACTGAAAAAGGAGAGATCAGAATTATGTGTATTAAAAAGAAGGAAATGAGAGGAAGTCCGCTGCCCAGAAAATCAGTTCTGTATTATACATGAACTCTAAAACGGAGCTAACTTTTTAAATATTTAACTCTCAGGACTAGAATAATCATTTATTCATAAATCAGCTAAAATCAGGTCAGAAAGATTTGTAGTGATGTCAAGCAAAATCTGTCCACACTGCCATCCTTACGGTTTTCCCATTTTAAATATCTGCATTTATATCAGAGGCTACCATGTCGTTCCCAATAGAAAAAACTTGGCATATAAATGGGTTAGAAAGTGTGAGTTTAGAGGAAAGGCCTAATGGCTTCTCCGTTCTAGAAATTATCTTTGGGAAAGTCCAGGGCACTGTTGCAAATTTGCTTCAAGCCCCAAACACTGATTTACCAGCTGAACCACCAGCAATTAAGGCCTTTCCCGTCTCTCACTTAGACCAGGGCAGCAGATGTGCTGGGGTGCCCAGTTCCAGGCTTTTCTCACCAGTCACCCTCTGAAACTGTGGGATCTACCAGATAATGTTCAATATAGCCTTAAACAGATAATAGAAAAACCTCAGTGATCTGGCCTCAATTTATCCTACCAACCTTATTCCCTCCTGTTCGCATAAAGCTATTTTTTGGTTTGCTGGTCTGTTTCTGTTTCTCTCTCTTGGGTCAGTCCTTCAAAATGCCCTGAATTTTCCCATCTTCTTGCTTTTGTCTACTCAATTCCTTTTACCTGGAATGCCCTCCACCATATTTCCTTATCAAAATCCAATTTATTTCTTTATAGATCAGTTAAAACGGAAACATTAGCTGATCCACCAAACTAGAAGGCCTTTCGCCCTCTCCCTAAGAATTCCTGAAATTCCTAGTTTTAATCATGATGTATATTATATAGATAGATACAGAGATAAATAGATTTTTGGGGGAGGGTATGCATGCTCTCTCCCTACTCCTTCAGGCAAAGGTGATGCCTGTCCCACTTCGGCATCCCTCTCTTGTAATACCAACACAGTGTGCCTGGCACATGGAAGTGTCCACCCTACATGGAAGAGCATGAGCACAAAGCACAACGTAGACCTCTGTCCCATGGCCAACTCCTCCCTGGAAGGAAGCGTTTAATCATGTCTTCTCATTTTATGAAGACAGGTGGGGGTGACCAATGGCTCTCTTGAGAGGACAGAGGGATGTTATTATTACAGACTAGGGCAGCTCCCACAGCTTAATTACTGAATGATTTGTGTGATTTTTATTATTTGTGTAATTGTGTATTTTGATACTACCCATCTTTCCCACTAAGTTGAGAGCTTCCTAAGGGTAGGGACTGTGTCTTTACTGTTCCCTACTGTGTTCCCAGAGGCCACAGCAGTGCCTGGCACATTGCACGGAGTACATAAATATTTATAGAAAAAAAAGAAGAAAGGGGGAAAGGGAAAAGAAATGGATATTTAAGATTGTTGAAGACGAGGCTGTATTCAGATAGGCTATCTGACCACAGTCTACCTAAAGCTGTGTTTATATTTATACTACTGGGTTTGAAAACCAAACCCTTGTCTATATTGTCAAATTAGTTATCCTCTCATGTCTGTGTGTGGAAGAGAGCTTACATGTATAAAAGGAACATGAAACAATGCTGATAACATGTTTTGTTAGCAATTGAGTTCTGATTTGAACCTGGTGGCAATTGCAGTTGGGATACTTCCTGGTAAACAAATACAAAAACAGGACTTACTAGGCTAAACATAGACATTATATGTACATAAATATTGTTTTCTGAATGAAACATCCATATTCTGTGGTTTAAGATCCGAGAAATTTGTTTTTCCATATTACAATATATAAGCAATCATGTCCATTAAACTTGGAGAGGCTGATACAGAAGCTCATCTAACTATTTCTTTTTTAAAAAAAAAAGATTTTATTTATTTATTTGTCAGAGAGAGCACAAGCAGGCGGAGTGGCAGGCAGAGGGAGAAGCAGGCTCCCCACTGAGCAAGAAGCCCCGACACGGGGCTCGATCCCAGGACCCTGAGATCATGACTTGAGCCGAAGGCAGATGCTTAACCAACTGAGCAACCCAGGCATCCCTCATCTAACTATTTCTAACCAAAATATACACCAGACAGTCTTTCTATGTGTGCAAAGCATATCTCTATCATTTAATCAGATTTATTTAGGTCTCTCGTGATTTTTCTGTTGAAATGCGAATTCTGAATTTACCATGAGCTTCAGGGAAAATACAAATAAATGGCACTAAAACAAGTTGATGTTACATACTAGGCATATGGAGAGAGAATTCCAGAATCAAACACAGTAAACAAATGGCTCACCTGCCTGATTTCTGTGTCCGGCTAATCAAGTGCATCCCATCTACATGCCTAGCTCTCTGAAGAGGGGTAGGAGAACTAAAACACTTTCTACTAAAAGATGTACTGATAAATTGCAAAGCCCATAACATCTTAAGCAGCTACACACGATTTCTAAGTTCTTAACTGATTGTTTACTTTGCCTGCATGCCTTAATCATTCATCCTTCCCAATAGAGAACACTGTTAGTTCCATATAAAAGGAAGTATCATTCCACCTGCTTTACCTTTTCGGACTCTATAGGGAATAAGATAATGCCATTAAATCACAGTGTCGCCTGAAGAAAAAAAAATTCAAATTTCAAGAAAAATTGAGAAGGTACTTACTTAAGGAGACATGAGTAAATCCTCACAATGAGAAGAGGTCATGAACTAGATGTAGTCTTTCTTCAGAAGCCGTAAGCTAACTGCACCGATAGCCACAAAATTGTCTCCGGTGTAGGTTCTGTTTGGGGAGGACAGAGCAACTGCCCTGCCTAGCCTCTGACTGCTGCCCATGGAAAATCACCCACTCCTCCTACGTATGTCATCAGAGGTGAAAAACTCAGTGCCTAAGGACAGCATTAGGTCCCCAGCACTCAAAGTGAAAATCAAATATAGCTACAGAAAATTGAGCTCTCTCTCTGTAAGAGTGATGTGCTCTGCATGTCTCACAAAGAAAAACCACGATTTCCACGCTCTCAATACTGATGTCAACGCCCTGCCCAGCGAGGAGCCAATCTGTCTGGTAGTCTGCCTTGCAAAATGTTGGTCATTCTCTCTTACCCGAGAATCATGAGTTAAAACTAAACTGTTTATGCAATTACATTAAATGAATGGAGCCCCAATTTGAAATAGCAGCCTCATGTTTAGTCAGGGCTAAGGAGTACGTTAGTACCACACAGCTTGACATTTACAAAAAATCTTTGCATGGACATTTTATTTTTTTTAATTTTTAATTTTTAAAGATTTTATCTATTTATTTGAGAGAGAGGGAGAGCATGAATGGGAGGGGCAGAGGGAGAGTGAGAGAGAGAATCTCAAGCAGATTCCACCCTGAGCAGGGAGCCTGACCCAGGGCTTGATCCCAGGACTCTGAGATCATGACCTGAGTGAAACCAAGGGACAGACACCTGACTGCGTCACCCAGGCGTCCCTGCACAGATATTTTAAAGCATGCTCAAACGAGACAAATGGTAGGTCCAAGTTCAGAATATAATTCATCCTGATACTTAAAACCAGATATATTGTTAAAATGACCCCAGAGTATTGATAAACAGAAAGGCCTTTTAATATTTCCCTTCACTGAACTCCATTCAAAGCAGCTCTTCGCAAATTACCTATAGAACCTCTGCAACAGAAGGGAAAGGAACATCTCCCTTCTTCAGTAAACTTTTCATCATTAGAAAAGAAATACAAGTCAAGGTTCCCTTATTTCTTTTTGCCTAAAGTTCATATTAATCATAGAGCCAATGTTCCCCTGCATTATTTACCATATATTTAAAAAGAAAAACCTGAAGTTTTGACAAAGGATTCATATTAAGCCCAAGAAACATAGCTCTCCTGTTGCTCACTTAAGAAGTCTTGTCATTTGAAAGAAGATAAAATCTTTGCTTTTCTCTCAAGTGAAAGATGAAATTCTTTAATTAAGAAAATATATCAGCTCGTTTCCAGAACTGGAAGGCCATGTACTACTCACCATTTCATTCTGGTCTGTTTGTGCTTTTCCACATTCCAACATGGGTGGTTCAATGCTGACTGTAACATGATCTATTCTCCAAGCCAATAAACAAATATGCTTATGTGACTGGATGCTCTTGGGCACACTCATTATTGCTTTGGTGACCCATCAGTGTCTGGCCTCACTAACTGCATGTGACATTATCTTGACTATGAAAGGTGTTCTTTCAGCTGTCAACTTGGGGATGGTTACTTTTTCTATTTTGTTAAATATCTGCCATTAAAATGAGCATATTAATGTCCATTCTAGCTCATGCTTGCACTTTTCAATCAAAGATTTCAGAGTCTGAGACTATGAAAGGAAGGTCAATGAGAAATGGACAATGGCTTTGCATAATTAGCACATCAACGAAGTCACACTTAAATCTATACAACTACATTACCATGAAAACACCTCAGGAAAAGTAGTCTGGGGTTATGTGCCAGACAGAGATTGTAATGGTCTCTTTGTAATGGTGTTTGTGAAACACCAAGGAACATGTTTCTAATTTGCCCCTAGCCTAAAGGGATGTCCCATAGTAGAGTTTCAACAAGGCACTTCGTAGCTAGAATCGAGAATAGTACATAAGGAAAGGTGGATAATTAGCAGATGATTTTATTGAAATAATAGATGATAGAACACATCTTGATAACAGTTCAAATTTTCATTTCTCAGAGCACTCTAACTGATTATCTTATTTGATATTCATAAAAACCTCAGTATATAGGACAGCAGGTACTGTGCCCATTTAATAGATGAGATAGGGAAAAAAATCCAATCACAATGGCTATTATTCACTGAGCACCTTCCATGTACCAGGAATGAAACTGAGCTTGCTCCATGCATTCACTTACCTCATCTCACCAATAACCCCAAAAGGTAAATTCTATTACACTTCCCAATTTACTGATAAGGGAGCCGAGATGCAGCATGGTTAAGTCACCTGCTTAAGGGCACACACTGGTGTGTTAAGTGCCAGAGCCAGAGTTCCGGTTCTGGAAAGTTCTGGAGCTTCCAGTTGACACACATCACCACACCCTGAGGAGCCCCTGGCATTTTCCTCCCTCTCATCTTATTTGGTGCTTAGCTAATAAACCAATAGAAATTACCAAGTTTATCACTGATGTTGGAAAAAAAAAAAGTACTAATGGTTTCTGAATATCCACAGAAGACCTTCACAGTGTTGCTCATAGCACGACCTCAGGGGCCTCTTCACGTGGCATTCCACATGAATAGTGTCAGCTGGAACTGTGCCACATGCCCGCCCCGGCCTTTTAAAGAGCCTCTAGTTACGACAGTGCAGACAAGACATGCTTTAGAAAGTTAATTTTAAAAGTAGGCACTATATGCCCACGGTACAACATTTGTAAGGTACAAAAGATCATAAATTCACTGTAAGCAACCCCAGCAATGCCATTTCTCCCTGAGAGGGTTATTACTACCAAGTTTTGTGAATCCTTCTAGAGACAGTCCATGCATAAGAAGTACAGACATATATAAAACAATATTTTAAGGATCTCTTGAATTTAGAAAAGCCTTTTATAAGCCTTTATAAGGCACTGAAGTTAGAGCATCAAAAATACCAACGCCTTTCAACATGATCTAGCTTTTTGCATCACATGGAATTATTTGGATACTGGCTTTTTCACACCTCCTTTGTTTAGCACAGCCAATGACCAGGAAAGGAGTAGACAATGATCTAACTGAAAGATCTAAGACAAAGGATAAAGCATGCTTAATGCAAAGTCCATACGGGTGAGACTACTGGTAGCCCTGACCAAGGATGCACCTGTTCCACACTTGTGCAGCTGGTTAAGTGACAACAACCAGCAGGCTCAGCTCCAGGGGTGACAGAGCTGACTGCGGAAGGAGGGATGGGTGCAATAAGAGAGAAAGGGAACTGCGCTTCTCAAGGGAAGCCTCTCTCCACCCACCTCCAAATCTAATCACAGTTAACTATGAAAGAAGGGGACACTATTCCTCTCTGAATGCTTGCTCTGCTCAGCATGTCCTTCTGCACTGACCTCCCCCCCGCACCCTGACTGAGGTGAGAAGAGTCAGGGGTGGCTGTGGGACCAAGGCAGCTGCCATGTTTGGGTCTGTTGAGATGATGAGGCTGTCTTTCTCAGGGAGAGGGTAACTATGAGGCAGAGAGGGAGAGCGAGTCAATAGTTTGGAGCGGGAACAAAGGCCAAAGGGCAAGACGGCATGAGAAACCATGAGTCAGCTGAGGTGTCAAGAGCAGAAGGAAGCCAGTAGGCAGCAAGAGGATCCATAGGAACAGGAAGAGATGGTCAGTGAGTGACTGCAGCATCACAGAACACCCCACAGGTGAGAATAAGAACCTACTCCTCTTGTATTGTGATAACCAGGCCTCTAAAACTCTTGGTATCCCAGGCAATGCTCCAGTTCTCTGAGGCTGACCAGAATAGTGGTTGTGGTTGAAACGTCTTCCCCCTTGTGAATTAAAACAAGCCTTCGTTGGTGTGCTAGGTAGACTGTTCTGTGGGTGGCCCATAGGAAGCACGCCTCACAGCATCCATACCCTGTCGTCCCCTCTCACGATGACTCTGGGTTTGGCCGCAAGAGGTACTTTGGCCAATGGGATTCCAGCAAGAATTATGCAAGCAATGGTGAGCATTGCACACTGGGGCTTAGACTCTCATAAGTTCCCTCTGGGAAGCTTGAGCTACATGATTACATGATGGGAAGCCAGTAGAAGGAGACTCTAGGGAGATGAAAAACCATCTTGGACTTTCTGGGCCCATCTGAGCTCCCAGATAAAAGCCACTGAGCAAGTGACTTGTTAAACCACATGTAGCAAAAGAACCATTTGAGAACAGAGAACCAGATGTTGACCATCTGAGGGGTAACAAACCCTCAGAATTATGAAAACCAATAAATTGTTGTTTCAAGCCACAAAATTTGGGGGCAATCTGTTACATAGCTATAGCTATGTGGAACAATCTATAGGATAAATTGAGACAGGCTATTTCTTGTAACCAGAAAGACCTTCATATGCACATTTAAAGGAACTGATGATTCCACTGCACATGTCCCCTTATGAGATTATGGCTGGAACCACAGGAATTCTAAATGAATAGTCTGGTGATGTAGGTTTTCCGTCTAAAATGATCTATCATTCTTGGGGCGCCTGGGTGGCTCAGTTGGTTAAGTGACTGCCTTTGGCTCAGGTCATGATCCTGGAGTCCCTGGATCAAGTCCCGCGTCGGGCTTCCTGCTCGGCAGGGAGTCTGCTTCGTCCTCTGACCCTATCCCCTCTCAGGTATTCTCTCTCTCTCATTCTCTCTCTCTCAAATAAATAAATAAAATCTTAAAAAAAAAAAAAAAAAAAGATCTATCATTCTCTTTTTTCCTGGATATGTTTACTTGTATGCTTATTGGCATAGCCGAAAGGCCCAGCCTTAAGTTACATTTCTCATGCCACACTTATACTGAAGATGGTTACCGCTGACAGCAAATAAATTTCTTTACACTAAAATAATTATGGATTATGCCTAATTTAGAGTCTTAGACAATATATCAATTGATTTCTAATGCAGAAAAGCAAAAATGGAGCTAATGAACAGGGTGAGAAGGAGCTTAATGTTATTAGTCTACCCCTCCCACCTCACCAACTCCATGAATCAGACTAGAATTCTGAGCTCAGTTGTGGCTTTGATTTGGATCCACTCACTCTCCTAGCAAATGGGGAAGGCGAAGAAAGTGGGGAGGAGAAAGAGGGAAGACAAGCCTTAGAGACAAGTCTACTCCTCCATCGCAAGGTTCTCCTCCCAGTTGGTTGCCTTCAGATCAGGAAACAGAAAGTTCCAATTTTAAAAACTGAAAGTAGAGAACTGCTCTAAAGGTGAAGCCTGAGAAATGGAAATTTAATTCTGAATACGGGTCTTGATAGTAATCTAGTTGGCAACATTTGTCAAGCCATTGAAACATGCACGCTCCAGCTCTATTTATCTTCTTATAATCTGAGATTTTTACAAGTATCACTGAAAAGATGTAAGGATCAGAAACAGTTTATTAAAACCTTCAGCATAAAAGGCCTTATGGGATATTAGTATTCTAAATGGGCTATGCCTAATCCATTTGTCAAGTAAACAACACATGGCAAAATGGCAGCCATCTAATAGTAGATGATAGCATTTTGGATGCCTGGCAGGCTAGTCACTTAAAGAAAAAAAAAAAAAAGTCACATTTCAAAGACTACAAGCCAGGATTCACAAATTGATATTCTTGCTAAATGCTAAGAACCTTTCTGAGTGGAGATGCAAGGCATGGTTCAAAATCTCAGTGTGTACTCTTCTCCTCATGGGCCTGGAGGTGGGTATGGGGACAAGAGTGGGAGAAAGAATTAGCCTATGACTGCAGGGAGAAACTAACCCAGAGGTCTCAGTGCTTAGCACAAGACAGTTTATCCTTCACTCATGCTAACATCCAGCGTGGGCAGGCTGGGGCTTCTGCTCCAGGCTGATGGAGGCTCTACCATTTTGTGATGTTGCCATCTCAATATGTGACTTCCAGAGTCCCCACATTCTCCTGCTCTAAGTGGCTTCCATTCAGAGGTGACACACACACACATCTGCTCCAAACCCATCAACCAGAAGTAGTCAATGACTCCTGGGAAATCTCATGAGCACTATGAGCTCTACCACAGGGAGCATGCATGAGTCACAGTAGCTCTGAAGGGGCTTCTTCTGGGAGGAGTTTCAAAAGCGACATTCTATGGGAGGGCTGTCTTGTTGTTTCATCTCAGGGATGAGCCAGGGTACAGGAGGCTGCTGGTGAGCAGGGCTGTATGAGTGCTGGCGGCCCGCAGCCCCCGCCTCTGTCTTCTTCCTCGCTGCATTTCTGAGTCACTCTTTCCTATAACGTGGGCTTTCCCGAATCATGAGCCTGGGTTTGGGGGTGAAGAGGCAGAAGGCCCAGATTTATCAAATCCAAGGGACATCACTCCTGCCATGTCACAGATGACAATCATCTTCACAGGAAACATTTCAAAATATATTTTGCTAAGGTATCCAGGCTCTGTATAATCACAACAGGACCGTGAAAGTGAGAAATGGAGACTGACATGACATGAAGAATTGTGTTCT